CCCTTTCTGTCTTCAGCTGCAGTGAGGTGGGGGGGGAGAAAGTGGAATATCCACATACAGAGCTGGTGGGCACCCAGCTACACTATCTTAGGTGTCAGTGGGTTTCTATGATTAATTTCAGTGAGGGAAATTGTGCCTATCATTGGTGTCAGTGCGCCATCTTTGGTGTCACTGGGTGGAATTCTGCTCCCTTATTTGTGTCAGTGGAAGGAATAGTGCCTTATTATTGGTGTCTGGGAAAGGTGAAGTGCCACAAAGGCAAGCAAAGGGGCACATCCGGCTCATGGGCCACAGCTGTCAGCAATGAACTAGTCAAGGATTACAATATTAATCCTGTACATGGCTAGTGTAGCTTTCATTCTGCTCGTTTTAGGAAAAAAAATGCTGTGAAGTGCCTGTGAAAATCTAGTAAAAAAATGTTCTGATAGGGCTTTTGTATACCGTCTATTCATTCTTTGAATTATAAAAGCACTTATGTATTCAGCTTTTCATGATCCTCCGTGGTATTCAACATTCTTATGATGAATGCCATCCTTCCGCAATTTTCTCTCTACATCTCTCTCCTCCACTTTTTCTCTATGCACACATAATGAGAAAGCGAATATTAAGAATGTGATTCACTGTTAAGAATATTTGATTTGGATTCAGGATTTATGATAACACAGAATTCAGCCAAATACAACTGTACAGAATCCCAGCTCCACAGCAAGTCTTTAGAGAGTTTCGGCCATCAAAGTTCAACTGAGAAGCCAAACAGTTGGCCGTTCCTTCCTATAACTCCAGCTGATTCTGAACTAATGTTTGTGTCACTGGGGAAGCAATCTACATTTATCATTCCTTATCTGCCAGACTTGCACTAAGCGGGCACTGACACTCATCTCCTCCTCTGCCTAGTCCAAGGTCTGGATAAAGGTTGAGACAGGCTGTAAAGTCTCCTTCTTTTGAGAACAAGGTTATTTATCAACTTTGATGGGAAATAACCGAAAAAAAGGATAAAGAATATAGATTTTTGAGTAAAAAATATGCTACAAAAAAGATCATTTTAAAATAGTATGAAGTTATATTTGTTAGGTAAAAAAATATATTTGCTGAATATGCTATAGCTTAATCTTACTAACTGTATATTGGTCTTAGGCTAACTGTGTTTTGCTTTAATGCTATTATTTTAAAGGTAAAATGGTTTACAAAATTGTAATGTACACGGGATTTAGTTAATGAGCAGGCTAACTATATGAAAAAGGTACTACAAAAGAGTGGAGACCATTTAAAACTCAGTAACACATAGCTGTCATTGAGATATCAAGGCATGGATATCTTATACCTTGATATCTCGAACTGAAGAGTACATCTGGTGCATAGAAACCAATCGGCTTACATTTTTTTTTGTCAAAGCTTAATTAAACTAAAGTTAAAGAAAAAAATCAAGAACTGAATATTTTTTGTTTATATATTAACAGTGCAAAAATGTTTAGTATAGTTTTACAGAGAAATTTATAATCGAAAATTACATTTTTTAAGATATACAGAATTTCTATACTTGTTCTCCACCTCACTTCATTACTGAATGGTAGGTTTTTTTATGTCTACTGGATTAGTTTGTTTCTAGATGAGAAGGTATTTGAAAGTTACAAATATTTATTTTGCACAAAATTAAGAATCTTACCTAGTAACCGTGTGCCTAGTGTTCTGAAAAAAGAATTGCAAAAAATTTAGTGTGCCAGACAGGGCCACCATAAGAAATCATAGGGCTCTGTACAGCCTACCTAACAGGGCCCAACAACCTTCAAGACACCCATCTTAATTCCAAACTTTAGAAGTTGAGAAAGAGGGACACCTCAGAGAGACTAGGATCTGTGTCACACAAAGCAGGAAACAGCAAAAGGTGGACCTGGTTAAATCACGCAGACTATTGGGTGAGGCTTAATAAAGTTTGACCCTACCTGTATATACACCACACTCATATACCACTCTCCTTGTGCTCACAAAATACTTCTGAATTACAGTGGCACAAATAAGAGTCTTACAGACACGCACACACCTCAGCACAAAGGACCATTTTTTAAAATTGAGACTTTCATTACTCCTTCTACAGGCCCTTGAATGGCCTTGATACCCTGAGTATTAGCAGTAATCATTTTTGCACATAGAATATACTCTGAACACATTTGGAGCCCCTTCCCTGACCCCATGGAGTCACTTTGTCAGTTTAATCTTTACTAGGGGTTTTGATGACCTTGAATAGCTGATACTGTCTGTGGCAAGATCATGGCAGTTGCTGATTGGAGGGATACAGTATGTATTCTGGGGGAAGGAGTTGACATTCTCTCATTGTAATGCTAGCATTGATAAGGGGATCATTGGATGGCCTGAGGGCTTCTGTCAGGCCCTTAGTGTCTTCTGCAGTAGATCTCACCAGGCTTTCCTTCTTACACAGGAACAGTAGGGATGTCTGGGGAAAGATGGGAAGTAGGGATCGATAGCAGTATGGAAATGCATGAGAGAAGGTAAAAAAAAAATGTGGAAAGTCAGCAGCAGTGTGCCAAGGAGCTGGGATGAGAGGAGGGCAGGTATGTGAACTGGGTTTGCTGATCTTGCAGCAGTATGCAGTGAAGCCACCTCTTAGGTTCATTGCCAATGACGGGAGACTTGGTTCTGGAGGTTGAGCTTAAGCAAGCATCCTCAGTGTGCTTTCTGGTATCAGGGAGTAGTGTGGGCCAGTTTCATTGCCAGCAGAAAAGAAGCCAGGGGTGGCATGATTGCCAACCCTTATAGTAAACCATTTTCATATAGCTCAATGTGTATTTATGCATGTTAAATAGGTGCTAATGATCAATGACATGATGCCTAAGCTGGACAAAAGTGATTGGCTAAAACAAAAACATCCTTGTAGAGGGACTAAAAATGGACAGGGTACAATCTAACCAAAATGGTGATATTACGGAAGATGTGTCAGATCTTTCAATGTGGCAAATGTGAGCCACATAGGGACAAGACACATGATGGTTATCCTGCATTCTCAAGGTTCTTGACAGGCAGACATTTCACAGCAAATAGCGTTTTCCAGATGTGTTGTCTAAACTCTAATTCAGATTCACAATGTTGGGACCTAATATGGAATAGTTGGTCACTAAAACTAACTCCAGCAAATGGAAATTTATCAAGCTTACTCCAAACTTTACAGGTGTCTAGCGTTGCCTTTCACTCAGAATAGGTGGAAACCATTGGGATGCTTCCACTCAGTGGTGGAAACCATTGGGATACTGATGCAAGCATTTCCAGACCAGAATAGTCATATCAATAGTGGTTTTCATGGAAGAATTGCAGCCAAAAAACACATTTTTTTTCACGGTGGAAACAAAGTCAAACACCAGGACTGTGGATTAGAAAGTTTTTAGCAGGTAAAAAATAGAGCTACATTGGTTAGCTCTTAAAGCCTCAGAGATGGGTAGATTGTAGGCTTTGAGTGGTGACTCCCTTTGGTACTCCCACTTTAGTATGCCGATCAGTCCTTTTAAGAGAACAGATGTATAGTTGCTAGGCTAACATTGCTTAGATCTTTTTTTGGTTTTCTTTGACCACCCTCAGAAACCCATTGCATTTTACATTATTCAAGGCTGCATAACGTCCATACAGTGAGGCTTACCATGCTAACTGATTGTTCAAAAAAAACCCAAAACTTAAAGTGTTTCTGTTGCCAGTATTTTTTTTTTTCGGATGGGGGGGGGGGGGAGTTAGAATCCCTGTTGCCCTATACTGCTGTCCTGGGCTCCATTAGAAAGGTTTTCCTTTGTTTTCTGTTCAGCTGACAACAGTTTTGCAGAAAGTGAAAAAGACAGCAGGGACATACACTCACTGGCCACTTTATTAGGTCCACCTTGCTAGTACCGGGTTGGACCCCCTTTGGCCTTCACAATTGGCTTAATTCTTTTTGGCATAGGATGAACAAGGTGTTGGAATTCCTCAGAGATTTTGGTCCATATTGACATGAATTACTATTGCCTTTCTATCATTTCTATCATCTGCCCATTCTCCTCTGACTTCTGACATCAACAAGGCATTTCATCCACACAACTGCCGCTAATTAGATTTTTTTCTTTTTTTTGGACCATTCTCTGTAAACCCTAGAGATGATTGTACATGAAAATCCAGTAGATCAGCAGTTTTTGAAATACTCAATACCAGCCCGTCTGGCACCAACAACCATGCCACCTTCAAAGTTACTTAAATTCCCTTTCTTCCCCATTCTGAATGCTCATTTTGAACTTCAGCAAATCATCTTCACCACGCCCAGATGCCTAAATACAATTGCTGCCATGTGTTTGGCTGATTAGCAATGTGTGTTACCAAACAATTGAACAGGTGTACCTAATAATAAACAAGTTTAATAGTAAATTAGCACCACAGATAGCTTTGTTGTGCCTCAGAGCAAAAATTCATCAGATGGGTGTCAGATAAACATAACCTCTATTTTTTTACAGAGGATTTTTGTGTTTTTTCTAGCAACAAGGTCTAATTGAAAAAAAAAAGCTATATTTGTTTTTTCATTCTCAGGTTTGTTTCAGCAGCTTAGCTCCTGTGTAAAAAATAACAGATACTTTGTAATTAGTTGGCCATAACAGCTGTAGCAAACTACAGTGTATTTTAGCGGATGACAAAGTACCTGTAGCTTTGACTAAAGTACATGTGAATGTGAACAATCCAGTCAGTTTAAGTATGTGTGTGTATAATATATATATATATACACACACACACAATCAATTTGTTTTTTTTTTCATTTTTTTGAAAGTGATTACCAGGGGCGGACTGACCATTTGGAAATTCGGGCAGAGGGCTCGGGGTTAGTAGGGGGCCCCATGAGATGCCCCTGGTACCTTTTTCATAGGCTTTTTTGAGTTTGGGCAAGAACACAGGGGCTCCATGATCCCCTATTGCCCGGGGGCCCCATGAGTTGTCAGTCCGCCCCTGGTGATTACATATTATTTTTGTTCTCAGCAGCATACGTGTCTTGGAGAGGTGGGGTAGAGAGACAGCAGTACACTGACCTTCTCAGTGATTGGCTGTGCAGGAAGGGGGGGAGTGCACAAGTCTTGGCCATGGGAGGACAGGCATGCTGTTCTCCCAGCACAGCCAGAAAACTGACCATGCTGGGATGGATATGCTCTCATGCCTAGCATGGTCCATTTGAAATAGCAAAGCAGGGGGTACTAGCAGGATCACCAGGTATTTCACACAAAAGAAGCAATGCAAAGAGAATAAGATACGTTTTATCACAGGCACATGGTAGAACAGAAACATATCAGAAATATGAAATGCTGGAATAACATATTCTTTAATGCAGAAAGATCTTCTGACCAGGGGCGGACTGATAACTCATGGGGCCCCCGGGCAATAAGAGATCATGGGGCCCCTATGTCCTTGCTCACACTCAAACCACACCCAAAAAAGCGTATGAAAGGTACCAGGGGCATCTCATAGGGCCCCCTACTGACCCCGGGCCCTCGGGCAGTGCCCGAGTGCTCGAATGGTCAGTCCGCCCCTGCTTCTGACAGCAGCTCTTCTACACAGATCAGGATCTCAGTTGTCCCATTGACAGAAAGTCCAGGAATCTACATCTGTATGCACCCAGTGGGATACAACTATAGTCCTAGTACAAGGTACATCCAGGCTCCATTCCAGCTTAAACTAGATCATCAGGTAGTTCTTGTTGGACATCTTTGTTGATCAACATTGGTGTGTGAGGAGGATGCAGTGATGACTTGAACACAGAATAGACTTACTGGCAGGATCACCAGATGAAAATAGAAGAAAACTAATGCAGCCATCACATCTAAGAATTGGTAAGCTGCAGTATAATAAATGTTTGCTTTTGGGTTTAATACTGCTTTAGGAAGTTCATATTAAGTGATGTCGGCACACAGCTAATTTATGATCTACCAGCACTTCTGGTAAATGCCAAGCGTGGCAGGTTGCCAGTCCAGTCCAATAAAAACTCTGAGATGATTTATTTTGCACAATGACCTGTGCTGATTCACAGAAAAGAGAAACGCGTAGGGCCACAACTAGAAATGTTTCCGGCAATCTGCAGGCCGATGCCGTTTGATACTTTGCAGTCCCTTTAGCATCAATCGGGTTTGGATCATAAGGAAAACTAAGGCAAAATGAAACATGTTTTATACGGTTTTCCATTGTCAACTCCTAGAAATGCATTTACTGGATTAACTGGAATAAAGATCTGCCTGTGAGAAGAATTAATGAAACAAGGTACTTTTTGTTGTACAGTTCAAACACCAAAATGATATGACCACAGGGATTATGGGATTGAGAAATACATTACTGAGAAATGCCACCGGAGATCGGATTTCAGTTTTCCTTTCTAGCTCTGCGTTAGCGATGCATTTATCTGTGGAATGATCCCGATGTTTACGCATTTACTGTGAGAGCATTTAAAAAAGAACATATAACATTGTGTGGGATGTATAAGCAATTATAAGGACATAGGCATTACTGCCAAGCCTAGATTAGTTCCATAGAAGCAAGGCATTTCCCTACCCGTATCTCTCTGGGCAGTGCTTCAGCTACTATTGGTCATTTTTTTTGCTTATTTATACCTGTTGATCCTGCCATTTAACATACTTCCTGTTTAGGGTGACACCACTCAGGTAGTGTACTGTATCTGGAGGAGTACCATTGTCAATTTAGACAGCTTATTTGAATTGTAGGACACTTCCACTCTACTCATATCCATAATATAGGGGGTGGTGTTCTGTAGTTTACAGAGGTAACCTGGGAAGGGCTGGTTAGACTCCTTGGCTATTAAGTGCGGCAGTGTCACTGTGTTGTATGCTCACTACACTACATTACAAGCTTGCTGGATTTCTGTCAGGATCACAAGATGTTAACTAGCACTTATTGAGCAGCTATAACTGTCAGGGTCCGGGTCTGAACCTGCAACCTCTGTGATGTCTGGCTGTAGCTCTTTTTGCTGTGCCAATTCAAATACTGGGCAGCTCGTTTTTGATCTCTTGGACAATCTTGCCTTGTCTCTTGTTTCTGCTGCACCTTGAACTGTTTGCTCCTTAGATGTAATTCCTGATTTAAGCCTTGTGTCTACAGTTCCTGTTTGTCATATTTTTGTGATCTTTCCAGCCTATGGCTTGTTCCTCAACTACACCTCAGATTTAACCCAACCTGCAACCACTTCTTACTGACCTTTGGCTTTTTTACTGACTATGCTTTTGATTGATCCCTACCTGCTATATCTACTGCTGGACTCCAGTTTGCTCAACTCCTGGTGGGGCGATCCTATAGACCGCAACATGGTACTAACATGCAGCAAAACCCATCTCTACCATCAGGGGCTCTGGTGAATACCCATTAGTTCTTAGATCCCATGCCTTGGATGAGCCCACTTCATCCACCAAGGAGACCTGCTAGTGTACTTATCCTGCTGGTCAGTGGGAGCCTCTCAACTGCTTAGCCACTAGTCTCTGAGCCTGAACCCTGACCATGAAAATAACAAAACACTTTTAATTGTATATTTAACAGACCAAACATGATAAAATAAGAAAAGTTCATTGTCCAGGATTTACATACCCTTTAAGATCAGTGACGGACTTCATAGTTTGTGATTTTTTGACCGTAGTTACAATTTACTGAGAACTGAACATATCAATCACATGGCTGAAATGAATGATCACCCTGGCATGAAATACACATATTGTAGCTTATTGAACTAAACTTGTATGCATGACCTACACGGCAATTACCGAAACAGCAATTGTCAGACTTCAAATTACTTTTTCCCTTGAAAATTTGAACTGTTCAGAGGGGAGGAAAAATGTATTAAAGTATATATTTTACTTTCATCTTGCTTCAATTATCATAATTTATACCTGAATAACAAACCAATCCAGAGGGGTGGTCTTATTAATAAAGATGAGCAAATCTGCCTGGGTTTGGTTCGTGAACAGTTTTGCAAATCTTGTTCAAAGTCTGTGAACATTGTGAACACCAAAAACGTCTAGGGGGGTGACTCTTGTTATCCATGCTGTATGTTAAGCTATTGTACAACAAAAGGCATGGGAAGCTGGATACTGCCATGGGAGACCTGTGTCAATGGTAAAACTTAAATGAATAAAAAAAAAAAATTCCCCCTTTGTGAAGTGGGATTGGGTTATCCATTGCTACCAATTATTGTCTCTTGTGGCTCAAGCATACCAAAACCAAAGGCTATGCACTGCATTGTAGGTTGTCCCTTATTTTTGGCAGCCAATCGCCAAAGTTTTCATGTTTGTGAACTTCCTGAATCCCGGGGATTCACTTTGAACCCATTTCGACTTCTTTTCCAGCATCCATAAAGCAAAATCATGTTACCAGAAACAAAGGGGGAGAACTGAAGCCCAGAGCTAAGCTGACATTTTGTAACTTCTCACGTCTAATTTTACATAATATAGCAAGATAATTGTGGCAAGAAGCACAGATTTCTATTAAAACTGACAGACACAATTGGCAAGTCATACTGGAATCTGTACGTTTTTCTTTTTTTTTTTCTTCTAGCAGCAGCAAATTGCACGTACAGTTGGGATTTAATTGGCTCATACGAGTAATACCTTCATTTTAATTTTCTTCCAGATTTTTATACATTAGCCACGTTGTCGTGCCGGGGGATCTCAGACGTTCCACAAAATTTAAGAAATACTGACACATGTTATTAAACCCTAGAGGTAAGACAGCACAATATTAATAGAGTATGCATTCTCTCTTTAGTAAACAGACAATGCAGTAATTATATTTACAGGCTTTTCCTGTGTTAGGTTATGTTCTATCATGGTGGGAAATTTAATAACAAAAAAAGGATCAGTTAATGATGTTATCAGTAATAAAATGTCAACAATTTAATATATGTTTAAAGGCTGCTTTCAGGGGAAATTAATAACCTAGTCAGTATTTGCATGGCAGTATTGCATGTTATATTGGCACTCGGTGCGAAGCCATGCTATTGTTGATTTTTATCTGCAGAAAGAGAACTTTAATGAATATTCCAAGAAAAGAATAGGGCAGGCCCTGCCAAACAGCTAAATACCCAATTGATACATATCAAAATGTTAAGAAATAAATGCAATTGTATATTTTTATAATCTACTCACTCCTGAGTGCATACCATAAACTGGTGATGGCATATTTCAGAGATTGCAGTTTTTGTACAATTTCTTACCTATTGTTTGGTTTTCAGATGAATGGTGAATAATAGAACACTGTGACACCCTCTCTGAGTTTCTGTATGCCCACCTGGGGACCTCCCATATGCTGCCCTGGGAACCTCCAGTATGCCTACCTGGGAACTTCCCTGATGCCCACCTAGGGATCTCCCTTATGCCCACTTAGAGACCTCACATACACCCACCTGAGGACCTCTGCTATGCCCACCTAGGGACCTCCTGTACATCCACCTAGGAACCTTCCATATACCCACCAGGAGGCCTCCCCTATGCCCACCTAGGCATCTCTCCTCTAAGTTCACCTCGAACCTCCTCTATGCCCACATTGGGACCTCTCTCTAAGCCCACCTGGGGAACTCCCCTATGCCCAAATAGGGACCTCTCCCTTAAGTCTACCTGGGACATCTCCTATGCCCATTGTGGGAACTCTCTTCAAATGGTAGAGCTTGGTTAAACGCACACAGCAACTCGCTTTCTTTTAAGGCCTTTTTAGCCCACTTTTATTTAAAGAAAATGTTCCACAAAGCTTCCCACGCAGGGGTATTCACCATCAATATAAACAAAATGCAGCCTCCTGGCTCTCTCAGATATAAACACTCTTCCACTGGCCTTCCTCTTCAGGCTTACGTCTGTCTCCTGCAGACTCTTTCAAAATATGGCTCTCGCACACAGCTGGCCACTAGCACACAGCTAGTCTCTAGCAGCCCCTTGCTGCTATTGGCTTCCACCTCTCCTTGGTGGAGCCCTCCTGACTCCTATCTGCCGGGGTGGAGCCCAGAACCCTGGTCCTGACTCTATGAAAAGGCCCCTCATACA